GTAATCAAGATTCCAAGTCTGAGCATATGAACGACTCTGCTTGCTTACTTGAGCTGGAAATAACAGCCTCTGAAGTGAAGACTTAAGAAAAACTTAGTGACTACTAGATTATCCTTAGGACGCGGCGTTAACTCTATAATGTTCTTGGTATTTAAAAAACGCGTGTTTCGTATATTATCTAGGGTAAAACAGTTCACCAGCCCAGGTTGGGTGCATGAGACAAGTGCTTGGGCCTGGGGCACTGGGAAGACCCAGAGGGATTGGGTGGAGAGGGAGGTGGGAGGGGGGACCGGGATGGGGAATACATGTAAAAAAAAAAGATACACTATGGTTGTGATAAAAAAAATAAATAAATAAATAAATAAATTAAAAAAAAAAACAAAAACGCGTGTTTGTCACAGAATTTTAGTTAACATCTTAAACTGAACATGTATGTATGTTGCTTACATAAACGTAGTCACTGTAAACATCTACATGACCTGGGATTTGTTTTTATTTTGAAATGGAAGCTTTTTGGCTTACAGATTCATTAAAAACTGTAAACTGTTTCTTTAAAAACAAAAAACAAGCTCTAAACTTTTAGAATTGCTTGGACAAGGTTAACAGAAGCTCCTTTGATACTTAAATGCCATCTCCTAGTATGACCCTTGCCAATATCCACTGTCTTCTTTGCCTGCTTTTTGGCAGGAGAGCTATCTGCCCTTCCCCCATCCCTGTAGTCTAGACCAAGGTGCTACCGTCTCAAGCACCTTGCTTTCTTGGTTATTTTTTTCCTTCCCTACTATTTTGTGCTTCTTCTGTCCTGCCTGCCCCTCCCCCGCCATAGATTTTTGTCCTTATGCAATGGGAATCCATATATCTGCTTCCTTTCAAAACCACCAGTTCCTGCTCTTGCTCCTGCCAGTCCCTTTCCATTTCCTCTCCAGCTTCTCAACTGTCATCTAGAACCAGTCTCATTTCATTTCATGTATGTCAAGAGTGACATCAGAGTCTATACTCTTGCTCATCACCCTATGTCTCATCCTCAGTTGCTAACTTCCTGGTGTTTGCGCTTCAGTTTCTCTTATAATCAGCTACTTTGAATGTTAATTGTCTTTGTTATCCATGTGGGATTCCATTCTTTGAGGTGCTTGTTCTTATTGTTCTATCTATTTGTAACTGTAGAGTTTTTGTGTTTTCCTTGTTGATGAACACCTTGTTTTCTTTTCACAAGCTTTTCTCCTTCCATTCCCTCTAACTGAAGGGCCCTGTCTTCTGTCCTCTGCTCTTCCCTTCCTTAAGGGAATCTTCCATCCATTCTGAGCCCATGTTTTATTTTCCTATTCTACTGACTCATATAGTGATCCCTTCAGTCCTTGCATTACGACTGTACCCTAGTACCAGAATTTACTTATGTAGAGCGACAGTTCTCATTCAGTGCAGTTCCTTCATTCTCAATATATTATTAACTGAAATCATCGTTGCCCAAATCAGATATTTTTCTCCAATATTCTTCACCCTGCAATTCCTCCTTTTTTCCTCTTTTTGAAATTATTTAAATGCCCCCCGCTTTTTAAGTTTCATCTATGTCACCACAAAGCAAGTCCATGTTTTATCCTGGATTATTCTGTTCCTAATGGGATTAACTGATTCCATTTTTTAACAAGTTCATTTTAGGTGTTCATTACCTAAACCATGACATTTGTCTTGTACCAGCCTTATGAAATGAAATTGCAGTTACTCCCAGTTATGTAGTACATGACAATGAAACTTTCCTCTTAATGACAACAGGCCCGTTGTTTCCAACTGAAACTTATCTTCCAACACTCATGGTTAACTCCAGTTTTCTTAATGCTTCCTACATAGGAAATTTCTGTGTCTAGGCTATTGATTATTTAGGGCTCTATTTAGATACAGGCTTCACCTGTTCTGTAAAATTGGGCCCTTAATCTCTCCGGTATCTAATATTCTTTTCCTTTTCTCACCCCCACCATCCCATAGAAACTCAGAACAAATAAAAACTTTTTCCCCCTTTATTTTAATTTTTAATTGAAAACGTTTGGAGAGGTGATACATTCACAAAGATTGAAATTCAGAAAGTGTGAAAGAGTACACAGTAAAAAAATCTCACTCTCACATCTACTCCCCACTTCTCTTCCCTGGGGACTGCCAATGTTAATCATTTTTTACTTTCTTTCCAGACATATTTCTTTACAAGTAATGCTTTTAGATTGTCTGGTATATGATTATTTTCCATCCTATATCCATGAAAAATCTTTAAGAATAGAAAAATAATGTTTTATTCTTAAATTTTCTGGTGGAAACATGGAGAAACCAGGTCAAGTCCTGACATTAATGGTTTTGTGTAAATGTTTCAGTGGGGTTTTTTTTTTTTAAAGTGTGTCAAAGAGAGTTCAAAGAATCAGATTGTTAGTAGGAAGGGGTGAAATGGCTTGAGAGCAAAACAGAAATTCAGCCTTGTTCATTAATGACTCTAGTGAAGCAGACAACTCTCACTCAAAAAGCGTCAAGGCGGGCAGCATAGTGTCTTCTTTCAAAATTCAGAGAAAATTACGTCTCCCTAAAGTTGTGGTGAGACTGGACTAATTTTCAGAGCAGAGTGTGCTTAACTGATCTATGAATCACATATATATTTTGAACTGGCACAACAGAGCAGAAAGAGCCAAATTAACGGAAGAAGTGTGTGTGAATAATTATTGGATTGGGGAATATGCTGGATTTTTTTTGAGGACATGTTCATGACTAGCAGAATGCAAACTCACATCCATAGCTATGGTTCCAGACTGATGACTCTATTTATGTGCTGATAAGGAAGTCTGTGGGCTCAGAAATGTTAAAGATAATTATTTTCAGCACAGGCATTAACTTTTTACATTGAATAGTGGTAGCTGTAACTAAATATTATTGGCTCTAGTGAATTTTGTACACATATACTAACTGAAGTAGAAAGTTGGAAGAAGTTCTCAATCCATGCCTATGAATCAGGACGCTTAAGACCTATAGAATAAAGGAAATGAGGCTTGTGGATATACAGAGCACAGCATAGGAGTGAAAGAATAGTGAAGTCTGGCAGAGATAAGGCAAAGTTCTAGATTTCACTGTTTTAGCCTAACCACAAGAAGAAAACAAACTGGATTTCATGATCTGATCAGGCTCAGTCTTTTAAAATTTGGCATAATGGGATAACAGCATAGCTTATTCATTCTATTTAATATTAAAACCTATTGTATTTCATCTTCTGTACAAAGCATCCGTGATTTCCCCTTCCAGCTGAGTTGGTACTTTACTTAGGGTAAAAATGAGCTGCTGGAGGAACTAAATGGGTACCAGATCGTCTATGTAAGTGGAGACATGCTGTCTTGTTTTAATCTCTCTGGCATATGGCCCATGTCACCTTGGGACAATTATATACCTGTTCTGGGCTTTAGTTTCCTCTTTTAAAAATAGGTATAATAGTATCTAGCACATATGGTTTCTGGGAGAATTAAATGAGTTTATATGTGTGTACATACTTCTGTGTCACTTAGAACAGTGCCTGGCATGTCCTAAAAGCTATTTAAGCACATAGCATGTAGTAAGAACCACACGAGTGTTTTCTGTCATCACCATCATCTGGTTTGCCTGTGTCCAACCTGGATCAGTTGCATGTAACTCCGCCATATTTGGCTAACTGTTTTAAATTTGAATTTTGCCTCCTTTTTCTCCTTTTGAGAGAGAAACATGGGATTGAAATCATACACTCGATAACTACTGTAAAAGCTTTATTTCACAATGAGAAACTAGATGAATTCAAGAGGAATTATTCACTGTTTCTTTTAATTAAAATGGTTACTCATTTTAAATAAAATTACAGTATTGTAAAGTAATTAGCCTCCAAGTAATAAAAATAAATGGAAAAATAAAGAACAAAGTTCTAAAAATAAATAAATAAATAAACTGTGACAATATGATGCCCAGATAAATATAAGGAAAACCAAAATAGACCTTTGTGTCATGTTGCTTTCATCAGTAAGAACACATTGAGTACGTATAGAGATTATGCATGTAAGTACACTGGAAAAATAACTTACATGATCCCATAGTTAGTTCATAAGAACAACCCCTTAAAATGATACATTTGGGAATGGTTTGAAGTAGACCTTGAACTTACAAGGTCTAATATAAGTAACATAGGAAAACCTTGAGAAGATTATTGGTTGTAGTCAAATTTTACTTAGTCCTTTTCCTATACCATGTCAGTTCTCATCTAAATGAGAAATTCTGTGAACCTTGGGAAAGCCCTCAGCCAGAAACAAGAACACATTCCTCATTGAAAATTTCTTACTGGGAAGATAGCCTATGTATGCAATGAATGTGGAAAGGTCCTCACTCAGAAGCCACATCTCTTTGTTCATCAATTAGTCATTCTGTGGAAAAACCCTATGAATGCAATGAATGTGGCGAAACTTTGATTCATCAGAGGCTGCATCAGAGAATTCATTCAGGAGAGAAACCCTGCATATGCACTGAATGTAGGCAGGCTTTTATCCCAAAGACCCACTTGGTTGCACATCAAAGAATTCATAGTGGAGAGAAGCCATATGAATGCAGTGACTGTGGGACATCTTTCCCTTCCAAATCACAACTGCATGAGCATAGCAAAACTCACACAGGGAAAAAACCCATACCTGCACAAGATGTGGGAAGGTCTTCACCAAAAGATCAAACCTCCTTATATACCAGAAGACTCGGACTGGACAAAGAGCTTATGTTTATACTGAATGTGGAAGGGCCTTCACTTACAAGTCAGTCTTGGTGACACATCAGAGAATTCATACTGGTGAAAAATCTTATGAATGCAGTGACTGTAGTAAAATCTCTACGCAGAAGTCACACCTCACTGTACACCTGAGTGTTCATACTGGAGGGGAACCTTCTGTATGGACTGAATGAGAAACATCCTGAACTCCCTCATGACCACTCTAGTAACACCTCCCCACTCTTCTCTAATGCTGCCTTACCTTTGGTACCTTATGAACCTTCCTGACTTCCCCACTCCTGCAGTGGTATATCTCAGAAGGGGACTGTTCCATCCTGAATTATCACCCTCTCCCGTAATTGTATCTCTTAGTAGATAATTTCTCTCTTGCTCCCATGCCGTATACTGCGGGCACCACTGTGGCACTATAAGTATCCCAGAACTCTATATATCTCAGATCCAAACACTCTCCTATCCTACACCGGGAATCTTTCTGGACCAGGGATCAAACCTGTGTCCCCTGTGTTGGCAAGTGGATTCCTATCCGCTGTGCAACCAGCGAAGTCCTTAGTGAGTTTTAATCCTAGTAGTATAAAACATAGCATGCCTATTACTAAACACCTAACATAAAATCACATTTTGTAGGAGAACATATAATGAAAATTTCTGCTGTTCACTGTGTTCATGCAGTAATAGTCATTCTTTACTAAAAATGAGGACTACATAGACAGATGAATGGATAGAAAAGATGTGATATATACGCTTCCCGGGTGGCGCTAGTGGTAAAGAACCCGCTTGCCAATGCAGAAGACGTAAGAGACGTGGGTTTGATCCCTGAATTGGGGAGGTCCCCTGGAGTAGGCAGTGGCAACCTAGTCCGGTATTCTTGCCTGGAGAATCCCCATAGACAGAGAAGTCTGGCCTGCTACAGTCCATGGGGTCGCAAAGAGTCGGACATGACTGAAGCGACTGACTATACTCAGCCATCAAAAAAGAATGAAATAATTCCATTTGCAGCAACGTGGATGGACCTAGAGTTTATTATACTAAATGAAATAGAGGAGGACAAATAGCACATGATGTCACTTATATGTGGGGTCTATAACATGAGAGTCCCTTGCACTGCAAGGAGATCCAAAGAGTCCATCCTAAAGGAAATCAGTCCTGAATATTCATTGGAAGGACTGATGCTGAAGCTGAAACCCCAATACTTTGGCCACCTGATGCAAAGAGCTGACTCATTTGAAAAGACCCTGATGCTGGGAAAGATTGAGTGAGGGCAGGAGGAGAAGGGGACGACAGAGGATGAGACGGTTGGATAGCATCACAGACTCGATGGACATACGTTGGAGTAAACTCCAGGAGTTGGTGATGGACAGGGAGGCCTGGTGTGCTGCAGTCCACGGGGTCGCAAAGAGTCAGACGTGACTGAGTGACTGAATTGAACTGAACTGAAAACATGACACAAGTGAACTATTTCTACAAAATAGAAAGACTCACAGAGAGACATAGAGGACAGTCTTGTCTTAGGCAAGGGAGAGGGATGGATTGGGAATTTGGGATTAGCAAATACAAACTAGTATATATCCAATGAACTACCAACAAGGTCCTACTTCATAGCACAGGGAACACTATTCAATAATCCTGTGACAAACTATAATGGGAAAGAATACTTTGAAAACGGCATACAGCAGAAATTAGCACAATATTGTATTAATACATCAACTATACTTCAATAAAATATTGATAAATATGAATCAATTTATCAATCAAAATACTGATCAATATTGATAAAAATGAGGACTAAATTAAGCCCACTTAAGTCCTCCAGCTAGTTTGAGAACCACTAGGAACACCTTTCCTAGGCAGTAGACTACCAGATGTTATGCTGGGAACTGAGTAGGGAGAACTATATCATATACACACACACTTGGCCCTGTAGCAACCCTGAAATGTGAAAAGCAAATACAGGTATAGGTAGGAAAGGTAAATTCTCCATAGGGGTGGGGGGCAGTTTACCAGTGTTGGAGAAGCTTAAATTGGATGACAAGGAATGTAATGAAAAGTGCGAAAGTGTAGAAGTTTAAAAAACAAATGATGTCAAAGAAGGGTATATGTGACATTCAGGGAAGCAAAATGAATTAAAAACCTGAGGACAAATGCCAGATTCCATCAACAGAGAAAGTAAGCATTGTTTCCTTGATCTAATGGATCACCATGGAGGGATTATATATGCAGGGAAGTTATATGAACTAAGTTTTGTACATTTGAAGAATTATACTCACTGATGCAACTGTATTTTATATTTCATCATAACGTATTTTAAATGGAGATTTCTAAAAACAACATTAAAAGAGGAACTGACCATAAACTGAGTCCTCGCACAGAATTTTAATTCCAGACTGAAAATGGCATATTCTAAGACCAATTTTTAAACGTTAAAAAAAAATTTCCAGTTTCAGGCAGGAGTGGCTGAGAAATTAAAAATTATATATACTTAAAGTGTACAATGGTGGTGTTTTGATATAAATATAGTTTTTTCACTTTGACCTACCTAAGGCCCAAGTAGTGTCAAAAGTTCCAGAGGAAAATTCAAATGTAGGATGGTTTGCATCTATATGAAATGAAATCGTCAGTGAGGTGTGCACATGAAGAACCGTGTCCACTGAGTTCTGCTTCGGCCCTATGTCCTCAGCACTTTTGGCTGGTCCTAAGCCAAAAGTTCAAGTTCTCAAACTTGAACATGTATCAGAATCACCTAGAGGGTGCGTCAGCACACATATTGCTAAACCTCATACCCAAAAGTCTGGTGTAGGACCTGAGAATTTGCGTTTCTGCCAATCTCTCAAATGATGCTGCCTCTGCTAATCCAAGGAACATACTGTGAGAACCATTATCAAAAAGACGGCTTTCTGTGTCAAGCCCTACTATAATACAGTTATGACAAGATTACTGTCGACAACACTCTGTCTTTTTCATTAGGCCGACCCCTTGTCCAGTTTACACCTGTTATTCGGTATAACCATTATTACTACTATTAATGGCTGCAATGCACAGCTTGCGAGATCTTAGTTCCCTGATCAGAAATTGAACCCGGATCCTCAGCAGTGAGACCACAGAGTCCTAACTAGTGGACCTCCAGGAAGGAAGTCCCCCAGCATCATTGTTAATGATGCCTCTTTCCCATTCTAAAGTGTCCTGATTTAGATGATAAAGTATGAGGTTAACACATCTACACTCCATAAGGAGATCAAACATGTTTTTGAAATTCAATTAGCATAAAACATTTACCTTGGAAGAATTGGCATATTTTATACCTGTGACCAATGCAAATCTTACAAATGACTGTGTATCTTTTCCGGTTACAGGTAAGAAAGAAATTTATAGCTGAATTTTAATTACTCTGCAGGACTATCAGGCACAAATGTCTACAGTCAAAATAGATGCTGGTGCTGACTTTGTTCATTCTCTCTATATCTCCTCTGACCTAAATTTATGGAGTCATACCTGGACATTTTGCTTCAGGGATTCTTAAAGGCCCCCTGAAGACACTGGGAAAGCAATGGGTGCAAAAGAAACAAATACATGAATTAATGATAACTCATTAAAAACTTGGTTACTTCCTGCCTTTATTGGGAAGGGGCTTGGGTCTGTGAAGTCAGGAGCGTTGTAGAGATCAGACCCACCAGCCTGGAAACACCCACACTTCAGCTGGGGGTCACATCCTGTGGGAGACCCAAGGAGCACCACATTTCTATGGCCACAAGCTGTGTATCTGTAACTGATATGATTGTGTGACACTTAGAAAAGGCAGGTTTCTCGCTGGGACCAAGCGTACAACTATCCGCTCCTAAGTTGTTAGGTATCTGTCCTTACACCCTGATCCATGACTTCAATTCCTATAAAACAGTCATGTATGTGCACACATTTTAAATGCAGAAATGTCGCTACAGTGGTGTTAATTGTCAAAACCAAAACTATCCTTCATACATGTTTACTAACAGTATCTTGGTATTAAAAATTATGCTACATGCAAAAACTCAATATTAAGAAACGGTTAAAATTGTACACAAAAATATTTGCTGACAGAGAAATATTTAAGTTACAGTAAAGAGGAAAAAAAGGTAAACAATTCTAGTTTCCATTTAAAGTGCGTGCATACATTAAAAACTCATGAGCAGAAACACTGAAGCCCATACCCAGAAAAAAATGCCTGAAAGCATAAACATCAAAATGTTAGTAGAATTGATAGTTAGGAGGTAATAGAGTTAGTTCAATTCAGTTCAGTCAGTTCAGTCGTTCAGTCATGTCCGACTCCTTGCCACCCCATGGACTGCAACGTGCCAGGACCCCTTGTGCATCACCAACTCCTGGAGTTGACTCAAACTCGCGCCCATGAGTCGATGATGCCATCCAACCATCTCATCCTCTGTCGTCCCCTTCTCCTCCCACCTTCAATCTTTCCCAGCATCAGGATCTTTTCAAATGAGTCTCAGTTCTTCCCATCAGGTGGCCAAAGTGTTGGAGTTTCAGCTTCAGCATCAGTCCTTCTAAGTTCAGGACTGATTTCTTTTAGGACAGACTGGTTGGATCTCCTTGCTACCCAAGGGACTCTCAAGAGTCTTCTCCAACACCACAGTTCAGAAGCATCAATTCTTTGGCACTCAGCTTTTTGATAGTCCCAACTCTCACATCCATACATGACTACTGCAAAAACCATAGCTCTGACTAGACGGACCTTTGTTGGCAAAGTAATGTCTCTGCTTTTTAATATGCTGTCTAGGTTGGTCATAACTTTTCTTCCGAGGAGCAAGCGTCTTTTAATTTCATGGCTGTAGCCACCATCTGCAGTGATTTTGGAGCCCAAATAAAGTCTGCCACTGTTTCCACTGTTTCCCCATCTATTTGCCATGAAGTGATGGGACCAGATGCCATGATCTTAGTTTTCTGAATGTTGAATTTTAGGCCAAAGTTTTTTCACTGTCCTCTTTCACTTGCATCAAGAGGCTCTTTAATTCTTCTCCGCTTTCTGCCCTAAGGGTGGTGTCATCTGTATATCTGAGGTTATTGATGTTTTTCTCCCGGAAATCTTGATTCCAGCTTGTGCTTCATTCTCATGATGAATCTTCATTCCAGCATTTCTCACGATGTACTCTGCATATAGGTTAAATAAGCAGGGTGACAATATACAGCCCTGACATACTCCTTTTCCTATTTGGAACCAGTCTGTTGTTCCATGTCCAGTTCTAACTGTTGCTTCCTGACCTGCATACAGATTTCTCAGGAGGCAGGTCAGGTGTTCTGGTATTCCCATCCCTTGGAGAATTTTCCTCA